GGTTCTGTCTGAGATGCTTTTTCAAATAACATTTCTGCCCTGGACTCAGATTTCTTTTATCTGGCCTTTATCTTGGTTGTGACTTTTCCTCTTGTTCCTCAGGGTTATTCCTTTGGCCCATTACACATACATGTGTGCAAATATTGGCATAAAATTTACATACTGACTATTAGAGTTGCGCGAGGTAACATGCTACTTCACTTTGTACAGTTGCCTCATCCCCAATCACTGCAGTGGTGCTTTGGAGTGATGCCTCATTGAAAAGTAAGACTCTCTACCTTGGTGGCTCCAGTTGAAAGCCCTGAGGTGGGCCAGTTTGCTTGGCTGCTTTGCTTCAGCACAGCTGTCTTCTGTGCATGTGCAGACCACCCTGGGAAGGTACTGCCTAGAAGGCAGGGTTGCTTTGCTTTGTAGACCTGCATTGAAGGGGCCTCAATCAAAGCAAAGAGTCCCTATGAGTCTTTGCATGGGTCTCCTGAGTAAGTGTGCATACAAAAGTGGTTATTTGTCTGTCACATCATTACTTGGACTTGAATCCATAGACAAGGAGCTCCCTGGTTCAGATCTCATTTTTAATATGAACTTACTAAGACTGTCTAAAAGTCTTTAGGTGCAAAATAAGAGGAAGCATAATTTTGAATGTCCTTAGAGAAGTAAGAACATTTTTTAGGGAAACAACATATGAAGGTGCAATAGAAACGCTAATATTTTTGTTGAAAGAACTAGAATCCTGTGCTCATTGAAATGTAGCTTGAAAAACAGTCCTCATTTTGACATGCAGCTATCTGAGAAACCAGAAACAGAAAAATAAGTCTGGTTTGTTCTGTTCTGCATTTCAAAGAAATGTTTAGTTGCTTTTCAGAAGCTGCATCAGCATGGACTATTGAATGTATCTCAGATGAATCAAGAAGAGATCCTTGCTTGGATTGCGTGTCTTCTCCAGTTCTGTTTGGGCATGATAAACAAATATGGAAGTCACCATGTGAGCTAGGATGCGCAGCCCCTCTTGTTCTGTAAAGTTGCCCTGGAGATGTCAACGTAGAGCTGGTCTTCATGAATATAGTGCAGTTTTCTATGGCCAGGAGCCTTTGCATGTAGATTTGTGCAGTATGAAGGCTTGTGGGTGAGTTGGGATCCTCAGTGTGGGACAGTTTTTGCCCCCCGCCTTCTCATGGTATAACGGGAGAGGACAGCATCTGGACCACCGTTTGAAGGCAAACGATCCAGGAAACTCCCTGGAACATTCCAGCCACCTGGAGTCTTACTGAACAGGGCAATGTATCAAGACAACAAATAAATAACAAAACATTCTGGAATCTTATGCAATTCCTGTATTTTTTCCAATGTAGAACCCAACTGGTGCAAAAATATATTTGTGCAATGTATAGGGAAATGCATGAAAGAAAGAAATAAAACATCGACCCTTAGTCAGAGACCTCTCAAATTCTGGGGTATGCCACAATATGTGTGTGTGTGTGTGAGAGAGAGAAAGGATTTTTATGTAGTGTATTGGATCATTAACAGAATACCAATGTGTGCTGTGGTATCAATGATTCACTTAGTGTCCACTGATCTCCATTTATTTTTTTTTAATCAGTAAGATTATAAGAAATAGCCTAATGTTGCACAATTTCTTAGTTCTTTGATGAAATGCATGAGATTTTGGCCAAATTTAATTATTCAATTTGTTTTAATCCCCCCCCCCATTATTACTGTTTGATGCCTATGCTGATATACAGTATCACCTGCCCCCCAGAAGCTGCTGATCCCTAGGCTGGTAAGAGTAATAGCAGTCAGATTACCATCTGTCTGAAATAGACTCAATATTTTTTTTGTTGCTAACTAAAAGAAAAAGTCTTACTCTAATATGCCACCAGATCCAGCAGATGGTGCCATTACCCAACAGAAAAACTGAACGAAAAAGGAGCTGTATTCTTGAATTCAGACAGTTCTACCCATAGAGGAAGAAATTGCTATTAGTTTTAATATCTAAGCCATTGGAAAACAGAAGAAGTAAAGAAGAACCTAGATACTTGTAAAAATTGTACCTTAGACATTTAAGGGTCTTCTTTTGCCAATTCTGTTTATTTTTCCTGTATTTTGGAGACAGCACATAGACTTTTTTTTTAGTATCTTATTACATGCATCTTCTTTCTTGTCTATTATTCACTTGGGGAATTGATTATCCAAAGTCTTCTAGGCTCCTTGATTCATAAATAAAATTGTACTGTAATTCATTTTATTCCATAGCTTCTGGGATTAATTGTAACAAGTTTGTTGCTAGGATGGGAGATGAAGAAATGTATTACTTTTATTATGATTGCATTTTTGATTCACCCAGATCATCAGAGATCCCAAGGGAGATCACAAAGTTATATAAAATATTAAAAACAAGAAACAATACGAAACATTAAATAGTGCAGGAAATTAATACAAACCACCATCCCATATTAATGTTAGTAGGTGCTTAGCATCAAAAACTGGCTCAATGCTGAAAATGTACTTTGAAGGGAAGAAAATAATCAGGAAACATCATGCACAAGGACTGGTTTCTCTTCCCAGGATTCAGGGCATTGACCAAGAAATTGATACAGAGTCACTAATGTGGCATGATGGTTTAGTTACCAGGCTGCAACTAAGAGATCCAGGCTGAAGTCTGCACTCACAGCTCTCTGGATGACTTTGGGCTACTCTCTCTTAGCTTGTTGTGAGGATAAAATTAGGTGACACACACACAAGCTACTCTTGAGTTCCCAGAGGAAAGTCAGTAATAATAAATAGTCTTTCAGCAAGCTTGACTCCAGTGACTTCATGGACACATCCGTATAGTTTTCTTGGCAAGACAACAGAAGGGCCCAGAGGAACGATGGGAAATAAATATAGTGATAAATAAAATAAATAATGTCCCTTTGTCCCATTCTGCACTTTCCACATGTGCATGTCAGCAACTTAATCTGCCCAGGGATTGTCTTCCTTATTAGGAAAATGACTTCAGAAGTGTGGTGAATGTCTTGACACGGAGAAAATTCGTATGGAACTGTTCACCAACCATCCTGCAGTGTTAGCCTTTGGCAGGCTGCAGAATTCCAAACTCAAAGTATCCTGGGTATTTTAAACTGCTTTTGCAAATGCTGCTAAAAAGGTTTACTCAGCTTTTAGGATGGTGCCAGTTATTGAGTCATTTTGACTTGTTTCCATGTAGAATTTCAATTGTATGCCATCTGAGAGCAATATCTTGAGGAAAACATCCTGCAATTGAACAGGCACATCCTTTTCCTACTATTTGTGGCATAGTTTTTGGAAATTTAAATGCAAAACCATTTGTGTTCCTCACAACAATTCTGTATAGGGTTCTTTCTGTCTTTTTTTTAAAAGCAGTATCACCTGAAAGCAGCCTTTTTGGTTCAGTGGCTCCTCTTAGAATCTAGAAATTAGAAAAACTATCTGAAATTGGCAGGGAAAGACAGAAAGACGAATTAATTTCCTCTATTGGCCTAATTAAATAAATTACTATAGAAGAGGATGGAATGAAACTACATCAGAAGAAATAAGCTGAAGTTTCTTCAAAGAGATGTTGCAAAATGGTGAGTTTTAAGCCAAGGTGTTAAGAACTCACAGATTTATTCTTGTTAGATTTCTCTATACTAACCGTTGCTGGTATCATGCTGTTATTTCCATTCCACTCAATGTCTTGTCTCCCATTTCCTTTACAGGTGCAATGCTTGTTCTGGCATGGGGACAACTACTTGTTCAGAGTGTGAAGGAACAGGACAGTTGCTGACGTATATTGAACTGCAAATTCAATGGCAAGTTCTAGCAGCCTATGTAAAGAATAGCCTTTCTCATTCCAGGCTTTGTTTCTCTCAGTGCCCCACAGATGCCTGTGGGTGCTTCCAAGCAGGAGACAGAGGCATAACAATCTCCTGCTATTTCCCTCCTGTAACTCGGGTTTGGAGCCACAGTGATCCCAATCCTGAAGTAGAGACATCAACATAGAGACATCAAATCTGGTAGTCCTTGATAGGCCTGTCCTGAGATAACTTTTTGATTCATTTTCAGAGACATCCAATTTACAAGCCACTTTCATGCAGAGTCCATTGGGTTGGTTGGTGGGTTATTTATTTATATTTCATAAAGAAAAGAAAAATACATAGGAATTACAAATTACAGATATGATTTAGAAATGTTTGTAGAGGAATGTAAAGTAAAATTAAAAGAGAGGAGAAACCATTCCACTGGAAGAAATATGTCACTTTTTTTCTTGTATATCAACTGGGATAAAAACAAATATAAAGATTGTTTCACAACAGATGAAGGTTTTATCACTTTCAAAACTGCTACACTGTATTGAACTATTACTAAAATCAAAATTTAGATTAACTGAGAGATCTATATATCAAAAATAATCATAGTTAGAGGTTAGAACCCTTACTTTAAGAGAACCCAAACCTTGGATGTGGCAGTAAGCTGTGTACAGAATTATATTCCATAAACAGTTTCTAGGTTAGATTAAAATTTCAGGCTTGTTTTTCATGTATGAAGTTATTTTGGCTACTGATGCGCACTCCTATAGTTTAAACTGCGATTCCTCTAAGGAAGAAATTCAGTGTGACCACTTGGAACTTTCCAAACTTGGAGCTTGTAAGAAATGTTTGATGGAAGACCCCCAACTCATGTCAAAAAGAGTTATAATGGCTTAATCTTGAAAACTGGGCTTGCAGTCTCTTGTTGCTTAACTTGGCAAGCCACTGTATATAAACAGAGAGCAAACCCCACTCCATTCTAGCACTGAAGATGTTACCTAGTTGGGTAACAAAATGTTTGCAAGAAAACAACCAAGCTCAGAGAACCCCAAGGACTTCACAATGTAAGACCAGATGATTGCATCGGCCTCTATTTCAGAGCCACCATTAACCATCATTTTAGAAACAATGGTGGGGTTTTAACTTCATTTTATCTCTTTTTGACATAATACAGCATAATCACGTGGCTGCCTCATTGTTGAACTTTATTACAGGCTTCAGCAAGTAATTTGACCTTATACCGCCCAACATAGAGCTTTTCTGAATCTGATTTACTATGAAAATAGAACATGCACCAGAGGTTCTTTGTAATTTTTGTTGTTTGCCTTCACAGGAAGAATAACATTTTTGAACATGTGGTGGATGAAAGAAGTGGGTTTCCTACTGAACTCTTCAAAGCAGTTAAAGGGGAGAACCTGTTGCTTGATGAGCAATATATGGTAATTAAATACTTCTGGCAGAAGCACAGTGCTTAGCAGGACTGAAAAGAAGCGATTAGAATGCATTTATTTATGCATGAATGAATATATGTGTGTCCATGTTACACAAACACTCAGGGCAACATATAACCATTAAAAACTGCACAATATGAAATATTTGCCTTTTCTGTCGTAGTGCCCACCTTATGGAACATTCTCCCTCCAGAGATCAGGATGGCCCCAACTCTGATGGACTTTTAGTCAGGCCCTAAAGACCTGGTTCTGTGCCCAGGCCTGGGGCCCTGAGTGTGTGAAGGGCCTGTTTCTTGGTTATATTGGTGATTTGGGTTATGATGTTTCTTGGCTGCTGTGTATTTTAATTTTTGCAATGTTTGTAATTTTTGTTTAACTTTATTTTATTTTGTTTGCTGCCCAGAGTCACTTGTTGAGACGGGCAGTCATATAAATTGAATGAACGAATAAATAAATAAATAAATTCTGGCAAATATACCCTCTTCCATTCACCAGTGAACCTATATATCTTCACAAATGTGGTTTATCTGGTTCCAGCCGCTGTTTATTTAGAACATCCTTCTCTAGTGGTACTGAGGCTGTGCGTTGCAGAAGTCCTCTTGTGCACTGTAAATTCTGTCAGTGCTATTCAGTGCATTTGAAAAATACCAAGCCAGAGGCACCTGCATCCCACTTTTCATTTTTTTTGTTTTATTTATTGTTTTATTTAATTAAGCATTCATCCATATACTCACAGGGATGTATTTTCCTCCTGTCTCTGCTTACTTTCTTCGTTACTTAATTTGTTTGTTTAATTTATATGGTGGCCTAGCAACTCTGGGGAGCTAACAATGTTAAAAACATCATAGCACAAAAGCAACAGTAGAAAAATAAAATACATGCCATGTATGGCACAAAACATGATTCTCAAATAATTTATACTTACAGTGGGTTCCTATGATCACCTAGCCCAGTGCCTGGGGCAAGAACCAGGTCTTTGAGGCTGTTGGGCTCAGCCCAAGAACAACAGGGAAACAATCCAACCAAGTTCAGTTCTTTATTGCTTATACCATATAGACAGAATCTTGCCAGACTAAAACTGTACTAC